GCGTTCGGCGAGCGGATAGAGGCGACCTTGCTCGAGAAGAAGCCCGACACCGGTGGTATTTCTTTCCTGCGGCGAAATAAGAATGCTCCGAAGCAGACGAGAAAGCCGGTCACGCCGCGTTGGCCATGGAGTACGAACACACTCTCTAACGAGTCCTCTCGGCTCGTCGTTCTCCCTCGCTCGTTTTCGTTCCACGACCGATTCATTAGCCGCGGTTCTTTGCTCATTCCCGATTCGAGGATCGAGAATCCTCTCTCTTTCCGAGCCTCCCGCGAACACCGGAAGCGCAGACTTAATTGCGAGCAAGGTATTTCGAAAGTGACGAAGTTTCTTCCGAGCAAGTTTCGTTCGGTTAACCGGAGCGTGAACCAGCTGAAGAGACAAATACCGCTTTTGTAAAATTCTCTATTCTATGAATTCTTGAACCGTTTTGGAAAATTGGAAAGTTAGACGAGAACAGCCGAATCGATATGGTTATTTAACAGTTTCGCAACGATCGTTACCGCGGGTCGTTGTTTCAATAAAAATCGTGCGGACGCGTTCAGTCGCGACGAAATACGAATTTTTATGCAGGTATGTTAATGCCTGTTGTAAGCCCGAGCATTATTCTATTTAAATTCATTTTCTACAGTTTGTTAATTCCGTATTTGACGTTACGATTTCACTGTTACGGTGAAGTTCTACCAGATCCACTGGGACAGACTTTTACTCGCGGATGTAAAAGCGAAACTGGAATTCGAAAAGAAGACTGTCCCGGATACTTAACGCGTTCGAATTTATCCGTTTCGTCACGAGATAAGCCCGTTACCATTTAAGTGAAAACGCCTCGTCGCCGTCCGAAATGTCCCACGCCGCTCGATTTAATCTGTTCGATCGTTGAAGCTCTCCAGCTCCACAGCTGGAAAATCGACGCTCACAACATTTACGACACGTGACTGGTTTTCGAGTTGTAGAAAACTGGATTGATCACGTGAACATTTGAACTAGTCTTTGATTAACAAGTAGACCGGGAATTTCATGCATTTATAGAAAAATCCAATGTGCAGAAAATATAAAGAATGCATACGATGAATAAAAACATTTCATTTTGCATACAAATTCGCAGTCCACTCGTCGAATTCAGTGAACTGTTTATGATTTAATGAGGGATTAAAAAAGGTTTCGATCAATCTGATGAAACCGAACCTACGTGCCCTCAGTCAGGCTCCGTTTGCCAGTTTCAAGCAGTAACGATGTTGATTCTACGCTGCACTTTCCTCACGTGGCAATTAGAACCACTAATTGCCGGATAATTATACGAATCCACTTTTGTATTCTCCGTGATATTTCGAGCGTTCTGTTTAGAAAAAAGAGCTCGCGTTGCATCGTGATAATTGCGGGTTAAGGAGATAAAACATTTTATCACCGTTATAAGGAACTCCGCTGCCAATTGTCTCAATTAATCTCTGAAATGTCGCATTAGATTGCAGATAAAAGACTTTGTATTGAATTAGCTAGATTCTTCTTTATTGTACATTCAATACGGAAAATGAAATTTCAATTGTTTTAATGGATCATACGTATAAATGTCGATAAGCGTGTAATTTATTATCTCTTCAACAAGCAGGGAAGCTTTTACGGGGAAAGCTGAATAACGTTTTGTTAAAAGGTGATCGAAAAAAATATTAATATAGAAACTCCGGGAGAGAAAGTGCGGGAGAAAGAAATTTAACGCGGTGTCTCGCAGTCGGTCGTCAGAGAAATCCTCGTCCTGTTGAGATCGCGCATCGTTTTCTTCAATTTGTTGCGAGACATTTTCCGAACGAATCCTTGCGATTTTTAGTCGGGAAACTTTCGCCGCGCGCTGCGAGGAAAAAAGTTTGAACTTGTAAAGCCTTTCAAGGCGCGGCCTTCGAGGCGCGCGGTCTTAATTGGCAAATCGTTCTTAATAGAATCGCAGTTTTCCTCGAACCAAGTTAAAATCATTTGCCTTAATAATCTCCTTTGAAACTGAAGAGATTCTCGTTGTCATTCATCTTCGTTTTACTCAATCTATTTGCATCATACACTCCTGGGCACAAGTAATTATAATATTCGTATGAATAATTGTTATAAAGTTTGATACGGTATTCGATACTTTCGTATAGCAATTGGCCAATGACCAGACAAATTGTATAACGGTAATGATGCAAATCGGTTAACAAAAGATAAACGAAAATTATTCCACAGGGTATTTTTAAATCCTGGCATCCTTTTAACCTATTTTTACGTATGCCATTTTCATTCCGAGCGGTTCACACGTTTGTTTAACATTCGCTGCTCTGCTCGTGAATCACACGCTTAAAATAATTAGTGGACCACCTACTCGAGTGATCTTATCGTTCACTAAAAGCGTCCACAGTTCTACAGAACGTACCCATTCATTACATTTGCATTAAAATGCATTCATAAAAAAAGGAGCACTTAATCGCGTTATAAGAATTCCAAGGGTTCTCGCGTGAACGGTAAAGAAAGTGCTTTTAGAAAATAATCGAAAGTGTGTAATAAAAACAAGTGGATGTAAAAATAGTTAACGCGCCTCTCGTTAAACTTCAGCGAGACGCACCCTTGCAATCGACTCGGTGAGACGTGTGGTCGTTCACGTGTCTCAAACTTTGAACTCCGGTCTCTCTGCTCTTTTTAATTAATGCGCGAATTTTAATTATTCGTCGCTCCCGCCCAACTTGTATGCAAGTCAAATGTTTCGTGATTACGTCGCGCGCTCCTCAACCGTGAAAGTTGACAAATCGTTATCCTTCGAAGAGAGTCACGGCCCAGTGCAAACGATAGCCGAGCTAACTTGTTAGCAAGAAAGCGAACGAAGGAAATGCAAAGTGCTTTATCGACGTATCGTTAATTGGTACAATAATTCATTGATCGCGATTGAAGACCAAAAACATGGATTATCGTTTTTTCTTCATGGTCACTTACGGTCAACCTTCGTTTTTTACAAAAGTATCAAAGGTTGCGACAACCGCTTAATTACAGCCTTAATTTGCAATACTGCTGTTATCTCTTTGAACCGTACTTATCACATTGCTAAACGTGAATTTATCGAGATTTTAATGTTTGAACAGTCGCTTCGAAGGGTGACGATCTCTCGGGATGGCTAGACTTCCGCATATGGGATCGGTCTTTGTGCCTCAAAGCCACGGCGTTAATGGACTGTCGTTTTCAGCCAGGGATAGACGCCTTTGAATCCACGAAATCACTTGTAATGTCTGCATATGCCTTTTCAGTCGACTGCACTCTCTATTCCTATGAAACTTGTGTCGACTTGGTAGATAAAAATAAATCCTGTATAAAAAGTTTGATCATGCTTCGAGTGTGGTAAAAGGCTAGTTAAACACGTTTCTCTTGTGATCGGTGAATAAAATTACAGGATGATAGGGGAAAAAAGTTCCGCGTTCACGATGTTTGCGCGCGTGCATTAATCACTCGTACGATAATCGCTGGGTGCTTTCTCCGTGCAACAATGGGACTCCGATGCGTGGAGAAGCACGCGTGGTACGAATTCAGCGGACCGCGGGATAGCGAGAATTATTTAAACGAGCCGGGCTAGCTAATTATTTGGCATCCTCTCGACTTTCGCGGGAGTCGACAGGATGGTTGCTTTCGAGCATCTGGTGAAAATTGCTGCTTGGCATAATTTTGTCGCTCGGCAAAAGAGCAGGATTGATAAATTGTTTCTTTCTTGGAGCTGGTTTTACTTGTTGCGCTCGATTATGGCAATTTGATATGACGCGGATATTTATAATCCGGATTGTCGGGTTGGCAAGACAAAAATTTGTTTCAATACGTCGACCAAAGGGAATCGGCAGGATTCTTAGAATAATAAATTGTGGACAGAATATGGTTGACGCGTTACGTTATATTTGAGCCAATTTACTGTAACGTCTTTATGTTACTTGGTCACGTAAATTTACATAACAATTTTTTTTTCAACAAATCAGCGTCGCCTCAAAGACATTATTATATAAGCCTGTCTACATTTTTCATGATACTCGACGGCAGTAAAACGGAACTACCGTTTAGTTAGCCCGATAACGTAAATTTATGTATAACTGAAACAGTATTTAGTGAACCTCATAATTGAATAAACAGGTGGAGCGAGCACGGAATGTGAATAAAGAAAATTGTAGCAACCTGTTTAGCGAATATCATTAACATTTCGCGGTTCGAGGTTTAAGAATTAATGCAAATTGGAAAGTAGCAGATACGAATTGCCGACAATGTATTTTGTCTGAGAGGAACGTCTCTATTCGAACTGTAGCGAGACGTGAGAAACGCGAATCTCAGATTTCAAAATTAGACTTGTTCCGCACCGGAGAAGTTGGATCGATTCGATTAGCGCACTTGAGAAGTCAGCCAGTGGCATTAAGTAGCGATTCGAGTAGGCTAACTTTTTACGCGCGACGATTGTCACATCGGCGCTTGAAACGAACGACTGCTCGTTAGTTATACTTTCTCTTTTGCTTGTTTTCCATTTTGTTTTTCGCGAAACGCTCGATTTGCAAGCGTTCTGTTTACCCTGCGAAGTCGCGGGGTATTCGTCATCGTTTGGCCGCGGCCCAACTAAGTCAGCCACTGCCAAGGAATCCTGGCCAGATTCCCTTCGGATATTCTCGACTTTTTAACCCGCGGAATTTTCATCGCTTCTCGCGTCTCCCTTCATCGAATTTCTCACCCACTTCCACTGTTCGTTCATAACACATCGCCCAAATCAAGATCAATATTATTAGATTCTCTGTGATAATAATATATAAAGACCTTGTTCTACTCGAATTCATTTCGTTCTTCAATCAACATTACATTTTGATTCGGTGAAACGAATATTTCGTTGGAGATTTGTGCCAGAGAAGTCAAGTGAGACTTAACGAGATCAGAGAACGCTGGAACAGATCGAGGATGAAATGTGTAACGGTTTGCGAGTCGTTACAAAACGTAGACAATTGAAGAACATCTGTCGGAACGATTTCCAGGTTACTCACAAAGTGACGAGTCAGGTGATGGTCCTGAAGATGAACCAGCTGGCCGCGAACAGGCCCAACATGCTGAAAGAGGTTCAGCTGATGAACAAGCTCAGCCATCCGAACATACTCAGGTAAGACGAATCTACTTTTCTAGCAGTCATATATATTTTATTTATAAAGAACTCGATTGATGAATACATCGGATTTCTAGTAAACTGTTATATGTAGAAATTGCGTGAGATGTACAACACCGAAGCACATTGTTATTGTCATAAGAGATCATTTTCTAAATTGACATTAGAAACATTTTGTTTTGCATAAAATTCGCGTAATCTGTACGAGAGATCGAGGTTTCTTCCACGAGTTTTAAATGAAAACCGGGTTGTCGCGATGAAAATAGAAACTCGATAGACGTCGAAATGGAAGCAAGCGGCAACTTTTTGTTCGCCGATCGAATTTATACCGAAAGAGGTACACGTAGGCGGCGGATATTTTCGCATATCTGGTTTAAGTAGCGTCAACGGCCTAGGGACGACTGAATCGACTGGCGAATGGGAGAAGTCCGAGTTCCAATTTTTTTCATCCCATACGTTGCGTTCAGATTTCGATTATATCGGAACAAATAGGCGAACGTCGATTCGGTCCAATTTATAAGGCTATAATGATAACGTGCTAGTTTCGCGTGGAAGTTTCCGACCACTCTCCCTTCGGTCCATTTTATCGGCTTATAGTTTGTCGGATGTGCCGTCCAAACACCCACATCCTCTGCCTATACTATCCGTTCTATTACCGGCAAAGTTGAAAACAGATACATCAACCTGAAAGTCAACCTCGTTTCTGATATAATGAACACGGTTAAAGGTACGCATCCTATCACCGTTGCGTATCATCGTTGCACATACTTCCGTTCATAAATTCTATGACACATCGTAAAACATTGTATAATAATTTGTCGTGTGATTACGAACATATAATTTATTTAACGATAGATATTTAGATAACGATTTGATACATCGTTTCAATTGCAATAGTGTCGATGAACAGTAAGAAATGTCTTGAGATTTATGAATGGAAGTGTATGATGATGTAACGTTTGGCTGTTCATATTGACACGGAACGGTGACACGATACAAGGGTGTGATACCAATGAATTCGCATTTCAATGCTCGTTAGTAAGAGAAAGCATTCTTCATTGATTTCGAAATATAGCATTTGATTTATGCATGTTGAAAAGATGAGATGTTGGCCGAAGTTTAAACAAAACCATCGAGGAAGAGTTTGCCCAATCGCGTTGTTTTCGTTCTCCTCGGTTTGCTGCAGCTTCACGGTTCCCACGCGAGGCTAAACTGCTCTGTTGCTCGGGCGACGATTGAAGGTAATGCCAAACGAGTTTCGCGGTTTCCGAGTTACGAGTTATGACATAATGGCAGCGGTGCAGCGGACTAGACGCGAAGCGTCGCGACGCATTCCAACGATATAAACGGCTTGGCCCAGATTCGGCTGTGTGTGTTTATCCCGCGTGGCCAGCGGATCTTATTTCTGGCATTTCTCTCGTTGAAGGCTGCGGAAACCGCGGACAAACGTTTTGACTTTGGGTGTCTGAGTCATTTCCACGAAAAAATTACAGAGAGGGACTGATATCGACTATTAGCCGGGGGAATCGTTGAATTTTGTAATTCTTGGAACGATACCATCGTGCCAGGTGCGTTCGTAGCAGTGATTGACGAATGGAACCGGTCGATACTCTCAGATATGCTAAAAAGATTTATTGCAGATGCCATCTTCGCCAATTCAAAATTTATTTCTCGCCACATAAATTTTATCATTATTCTTTATACCGGAAGTCGAAGAATTTGCAATCTATTGTTTGTCGCCGTAAGAATTTCAGGTATCTTATCACAGAACGTATCAGTGTTTAATCGCGATAAATTCTTTAGAGTACAGCTAGTAAATCGATGAAGTTATGTGCCTAATGGAATACAAAAATTGCACTCATATGAGCAAACCATTGACGCTAATTGATTAATTTGCAAGAGAATGAAACGGTGTCAATAGTCATATCTAATTGATCATTTTATCAGATCAAAGTACACATATGTGCGTGTGATCGAGGCAAACAGTGGAACTCAGAAGTATTAGGGTATCATTTCGATTGTTAACGCAGACCGGTTGCGATAACGTCGATACGTGCGATAATATTTCAAGAAACGTTTATAGCTCAGGCTCACGTAAGCTCTCGTAAAATTCGACGCTGTTTCACTTTATCTTTTACATAATTGTTTCAAATTACAGCAGAGCTAGCTAGGCGCAATCAATTAATTCACGGTGAAATTTAATCGATGTTCAAACGATCTCTTTTCAAAGGATCATTCCGTAAGATTAGATCGAGAATCTGTTTGCCCGAACCTAATTGGAGTTGTTTAGAAATCGTCTTTTTATTGGTTTGGAGAATGTACAGAGATTTCCTCGCCTATTACCGATAACCCGCGGGGTTCGAGCGTAAATCACGAATACTAGCTTTGAGATAATGTCAAGCGGTTGACAGGATACAAATGAAGACGTAACGGGTTAACATTGAATCGTTCACTAATTGACGTTTAAGGCGTGTGACGTTTAATGAATCAAGAGATGAACTTCGATTTTACTCTATTTTCCACCTACGATTGTTTCATCTCTCAGAGGAATCGCTAATACTTCCTTATAGTTAATGTTATCGTGCTTTGTAAAAAACGAGACGATAAAGCTCGTAGTGATTCGCGCATCGATGACACGTACGATGAATCACGATGAGATGAATCACACGGCGGATCTCCCCCATTGAGTTAATAGAACGGTGGTATCGAAGGAAGCTTGGAATAATAACAGGTTTTCACCGGTTCGCGAAATAAATGACTGTCCGCTAATTGAATATTCGCGGGAAGATTCGCGCGCGTGCTCCGCCGCGGGTAATCGACGGGACCAATTAAAGGCTGATGAAAGCAAAGTACGTGAAGCACGAAAAAGGCCCGATACGAATTTTCCGGTTCCGCGACTCCACAGAACGTCGGTTCACCCCTGCTCGTGTTTGGCTGGAAGCTTCGAAGCTTGCCGAGTGTCAATAGATAGAGCATCGTGACGAATCGATACGATGCTCGTTTAATCGTCTTACCTTCCTGTAAATGCGGAGAAACGAGCGGGGAAAAACTTGTCGTGTTTCTCTGCAAAGGTTAATCAATTCTTCTCATAATCATGTGACTCGCGTTTCTTTTCTGTACAAATTATCGTGCCAGACGAGATTCCCATTAAGAACACGCTGTTAATTGACCGTACAAACGTTCAAAAGCTGCTCTTGTTAAACCGATGAAAGATTCGAGTCATCTTTAAAAAACTTATACTATTGTCCGACGAACAAAAGGTGTTCGGTATTGTTTGCCAATGTTTCGAGTCCTGTCGGTGAGATAAGAGACAGCGAAGTTGACCCCGGCGTGTTTCGTTTCGATGCCTCTTATTCATCGTCCTTTGGCGGACGCATCTGGGTCGAAGACCTTCGCCCTGCGCTTGTCCTCGCCGGGACACGAAGGTTGCAGCCTTTATAGGGAAAGATGAGTAACCAGCGAAACGGCTTTGCGGTTCGTGCGCGGATTCGCAAAGAGTGCCGCGACGTTCCCAGACATTCTGTGGCAATTAAGCCTCGTTCACTTGACTGAATTCTTCTTGCCTTCACCGGCTCCGGCCTCTCAATCAATTTTTATTTTACGATTATAAGAGTTGATTCTAATCTCTGTTTGTAATACATCTCATACACGATCATTACAACGATGTCAGTCATTAGGAAGGGAAACGCTCTTAAGCGTAGGGGTGAAATTGAATGCAGTTTGGAAATGCCATATGGCGAATTTTCTAATCGCTTCAGGTTTATGGGAGTATGCGTGCACGAGGGTCAGCTGCACGCCCTGACAGAGTACATAAACGGCGGCAGCTTGGAGCAGCTGATTATGTCCAGGCACACGCCCCTTCCTCATCTGGTCAGAATGAATCTGGCGAGGGACGTGTCCCGCGGCATGACGTACCTGCACAGCCGCGGGATCTTCCACCGGGACCTGACCTCGAAGAACGTGCTGATCAAGAAGGACGACAACACGTCGGAGTTGATGGCGGTAGTCGGTGATTTCGGGCTGGCGGCGAAGATCCCGGATCCGAGCTCAGGGTTCAGGCTGAGCACGGTAGGCAGTCCTTACTGGATGTCGCCCGAGTGCTTGAAGGGCCAATGGTACGACCACAGATCCGATGTATTCTCGTTCGGGATCGTGGTCTGCGAGCTGATCGGACGTGTGCCGGCCGATCCGGACGTTCTGCCACGCTCGGATAACTTTGGCCTCGATTACCTGGCCGTGGCTGAGATATGCGCGGCAGCTGATCCGCCGCCAGCCTTCCTTCAACTTGCCTTCTATTGTTGTACGGTGAGTAAAATTTCTGATCTCTGGAAGAATTACTCCAGTTTATAATATCGATTGCGAAAGATGCTCTTCGTTCGCTTAATCTGACAAACGCCTTTCGATGTCTGGTTACAGTACGAGCCAAAATCGAGGCCAACCTTCCCGGAGATCACGTCCAGTCTGGACACCATGATCGTTAATTACGAGGAAGAGTTGAAAAGCAACATCGGAAAGCCTCAGTCCGTGGATCCTGCTCTGATGTCTAGCATGGACGAGATAACGCGAGAGGGACGGACAATGAAGCGGAAGACCGCTCGTCTGCGAAGTCAATCGGCGGACGCGAGAGGCTGTCACAACGCGACGCCCTCTGAAAAGGCTAGGTGTCATTCCGCGAGGCGGGTGGCCGAGCTAGCCAGCAGAAGGGACCCGCATTACAGGCCCATGACGGCGAATCCGTTCCACGCGCTGGGCGGTGTCAAGAAAATCCTTGGCAATCTGTTCTCCAGCTGTTTAGAACTGCCGTCTCTCGAGGACGTCAGGCCGAGCGTCATCGATGCGATCGGGAAGTTCAAACCAGCGCAGAATGACAGTATCGCCAAGATCTTGGACAGGAAGAAACCGAACTCGGAACCGAGTAGTCCGACTGCTAGGAAGAAGTGGGAGAGAAAGGTGAGGATCGTTTTTATTTGACAAATATTAATTTGCCAGGAAATATAATAGTTGATGCAACCATGCAAATTTCAGGTGGCCACGAAGGCGGGCGCAGCCAGCCTATTCACTCATCCGCTTTTCCGGGATGGATGGGAGCCGCGGCGGCGTGGCAGCTGCGAGTCTGGCTTCTGGAGCTGCGTGGGCGAAGATCTCAGCCCCGAGCCTCCCAATCGTCGGCACACCTCCACGCTGAGCAGCTCCGCCGCGAGTAGTCTGTTCCTTTTGGACGATCACCGGACCAGCTCGATCTATACCGACTCGTCCGAAGATATCGCGAGTCTCGGTGGCGGTGACTCGTGCTGGGAGGACAGACTGGGTGGCATCGGGTCTTCCAGTAAAACGATCTCGAAGATCGTCGAATACTTCGAGAGGAAGCAGGCGGGCAGTTTCCGGCTCGCCGATCACGATGCCGGTTCTAGTAGGTTAACATTGTTGAAAGCGAGCTTAGAGGGTCCCGTTCCTCTGTGCAGTATGTCCGCTGCGCAGAGGTTAGTCGTTTGCGAGGGCGCGGTACGCAGCAAGTTGCCCCTGTTCGATAAGAAGTGATACGAGTCGTCGTTAGAGTTTCTTGGCTCGCCGAAGATACTCGTGGCGGTGCGCGCGTGACGAAGCGCGACGCATCGGGATTAAGAGGAATGGGTATGTACGATTGGAGTACTCCGTACGGTCTGTAAAAAGTTGAATGATCCGGTATCGCGCGGAAGACGAGCTGAGACCGAGAAGCCGTTATATATTTTTATTGGACTTCATGACGGAGATGGTGCAGCGGATGCAAGGTCAGTATTAATGATCATCGGGTTGGAGTTCAATGAAAATATAATGAAACACGCGTTCAGCGGACGCTTCTCTAAAATCTAGTAACCCGACTGTGATGTTTTTTGATAATCTACATACATTATTGACCCCAACGACTATGTTCGACGAAGCTGTCCGACGAGGGGTTCGTCTTTCGCGCGTTGTTCCGTCGTCAGTGCACTTTAAAAAAAAATCTTTACCTACTCGCCGCAATAGATTAGACGGATTTTAAACAGTTTCCTTCGATTTAGATATGCCAAAAAATAATGATAATGTCAATGGAACGATTTCGCGCGATAACGGGACGTTTAACTTTCGTTGTAGAGTACATAAAAAAATTTGTTCAAACGCGCCGGTTCAGATGTTTACAGTGACGAGGGATTGAGAGAAGCAATAGACACACGTTTAGTTCCAGACTGCGGCAAATTGAATGCCAGTAGACGAAGGAAAAAATAAACGCTGCTCACGTTCTTACCTTTTGCAGTGCCTCGCAGTTCCTAGTTAGCCACCTCCGTCCTTATCCCACACGTAAACCGACTTTTTGTCACTAAACGACGATCAGAAAAGAAATCATTCTATCCCAAACGGTTCCCTCCTTTGATTAATTCGTGTTCGAGTTCACTTTTAACGCCGATATCGGAGTTGCAAATGCGTGAACTTTGCGTTGAGAAACGAAGACGAGAACAATGTACAAGAAAAAGCGGCACCGTTCATTTTTACTTTTATGGATTTTAATTATATTTTATTCGCGAGAACTTTTAGAGAATAGTATTTTACGAATACCATTGAATCCATGTTTTTCGAACTGTTTTTTAATTTTCTAGAAAAAAGTGCCGTCTTTTCGCGTACAGCGTTGAGAGTAATTTGGCGTGTGAAGTTCGTCAGGGCCTACGCTGTGCTTATACGAGTTTTTAAAGTAACGCTTCCGCTCGCGCGGGAGATACTTCCCCAAGGCGCGATGATACCGTCGCGCCTCGTAGATTAGTACTCAGGATGCGAGACAAGACATATAATATATTTTGTTGAAAGAGATATCATGTCCTGAATACATATTTTTGTTGATACGAGAGAACAATTGGGACCGACGTTGATGGTCCCGCGCACTCTGAATTAATCGAGAGAAAGCGAGTGCGAGAATGAAAGAGCAAACGAAACTGATCTAGTCAGTGTATTATCGTGGCGGCCTTATCTTTTGTATGTCGTAGCGCTAATAACTTAAGTGTTCCAAGGAAAGTTAACAAACGAGCAAAAGTACACGGCAACCCGTTCAAAACCACGAATCGTGGTAGTTAACAAATTAGCGAACGAACCGGTAACGATACGTCGACAGAAGGGCAAATGGAACGGATTGTGAATGATTTCTTGAGTGCGTGAGAATTTACGAAGTTTAGGAAAAGCGCCTTCGAGTTCGTGTCTCTATCGCACCGTATATTACTTAGTTATAGGTAAAATTGGGGTTCGTTGATACAGATATGAACTCGATGCGGTACGCGAAGTGTGTCAGTCTTTGATATTCACGCAGATACAGTTTCCCGATATGTATTACTTTTAATCTTGGACTAACTCCAACTTTAAATCGGACGCTTTAATTTATTATTCAATTCGACGCGTCGCACCGATAAATTAAATTTCAATTTTGATTATTCCTCGGAAGACTGTGTGTGCGTGGATGAGAATTTGTGTAACTAATAATTAAAATATGTATTCGCTCGCGTGAATCGTATGGTCGCCGTCTCGAAGGTGGCCGGACGAGTCGAACCAAATTTCTACTAGAAATAATACACTACTATACCTTTTTACTTGTCAGAGTTCGTTCACGGGTTCTACTTGATAAGACTGCGTGTTTGTTAAATAATATGTATGTAAGTAGTAGGTCCCGATGTAAGTTCGCAGTCCCTTCTTCCTTGCCTAATGGAACGCACCATACGTCGTCCACGAACCAGAAGATTCTTCCTTTTTATCTTTCCGAACCCCCTTTGGTTTTCAAGAGTATCGATCGACGGCCCCCGTTTTCTTAACTTTCAGTCTTCCCCGTTTGAGACGAAACCACTCTGTACCTGTTATTTTCGCAGTCGATCGTTATCTAGAAGAACGATGCGTTCTGCTTCGATACGTCAATCGGTACCTGAAGATACATTGAAGCTAGGACTGCGAATCAAGTAATTATTTTTAATAGTTCGCGGACATATCAGGAGTTGGGCATATCCTGAAGAATTTCGTTTCTCGTGTGAAAGGATGAGAAAGAAAGGTAAGGATTTCTGTATGTGTATGAGTGGTAGAGAGAGATAGAGAGAGAGAGAGACAATGATTAATAAGAGGGTACGCTGGAGATGCAAGACCGAGAGGCGCATTTTTATGAAGAGGGTTATTTATTTTAAGTAAAAACAGGTATATTATAGATACAGAGAGAAGTCCACACTTAAATCGTCTCTTCCAATACTTTTTTCGATTGCACGTCCGCGTGATCGAACGTGGCACGCGTGGACAACTAGCTGTACATATTATTATTACAAACGAAAGAAAGGAAATGTAATAATACTATTTCTTCGTGTCGCGATTCCATTCGGTCAACATCGTTACGCTATACAAAATGGGACTTTACGTACTTATGATCATTCGATATAAATAAAACACTTGCGATGGGAGAAAACCACGGATGACGATGATAATAACAATTCTAATAAACTAAGAATTAATAACGGTAACGAATGCGAGAGAAAAGAGAAAGATTTCAGCGAATCTATATATATTATATTATATATATTGTAAAAAAATTCCTATATACAAAAAATAAAGTTAAGGATGCAATTTTTACCAAAAGAACGTTGTTTAAAAAGTTTGCTTATAATCCGCTCGACGGAAACAATTGTACTTAACGACGCGCGCATACCGACTCGTGTACACGAAACAACAACTTCGTTTACGTAGGATCAACAAAGGAAACCGTAAACTTGTCAAAATAAAACAGGAAAACTCAACAATCGTTTCTCGGATTCTCGTGGAGAACAGAAAACAATTCAACGTTCCCTCTCGACGGAGAAGCGAGGTCGGGCCAGGTCTTCTTCGGGTATCAAAGGTATGTACCTAGTCCTAGGGTCCTTCTTCTTCTCGTACGCGTAAGGAAACATCATGCTGCTCCTCGAGGAACTCTCTGGCCTCGGGATTTTCTGTATGTGAGATTGAGTCGATGAGCTCGACGTTTCGGGCACGTCATTTGAGCTCGTCGACGACGGTTCCTGCCCTTCCGGATCGATCAGAGGTATATACTTTCTCTCCTCTTTGCCCGTCGTGATAATCTCATCCGAATTATTATTGAAATCCACCGACGTCACGATTTCTAATTGCGCGATATCAGTTTGCTTGTCCGTAACAGTGTGAGACAGAGTACTGTCGTTGGAGGAGTTGTCCGATGCCTCTAGCATTTGAATTTCGCTCTTTACGGTAATGGGTACCCAGTCACCTGCTTCTGTCTTGAATGTACTCTCCGTAGTCGTGGACCAGTCCTTTTCTGGTTCCCAACTCAGAGATCTGGATAGATTGAACTCTTTCCTGGAAGCAGATTAATCAGAACCACAGTTGTTACGTGATAGAGAAGAGCGACGATAAATTAAGAAACGTAGTAAAGAGCCTTCGCAGCACTTCTTAATATGCCAAGTATCGCTCGGTCATAGCAAGGTTTGGCCACTGATAAAATATTTCGCCTCATACCTTGATCCAGTGACGAAACTGGGCGTGTATTGCGAGATCAGAGGAAGGAGAGTCTGCCTCGCGTACCTCTCGGCCTGCGCCAAGATTCCAGCCAGTCTTTCTGGTAGAAACTGCACAGTGAACACTCCGCTCGTCGAGGCAGTCTCCTGTATTTCGTCCTTCTGCTTCTCGCTTCTCACTTCGTTTCTGTTCTGTCTCGCCGAACGAGGCCTCAAAATCGGTTCCGTGATCTCGGGAAACTTCAACGACCTTCCCGTTTCCTTTTTATCGATTTGCAACACGGGTTCCCGTATTTCCGGAAGGAATTCCGTCGTCGATTCCACTGCGGGATTCGGTGAAGCAGTTTTTGCGAAGAAATTCGGCCCGGAAAATCCTCTGCCTCTCTCAGCGTCAGAGTTTTCCAACGAATTCGAGTCTCCGTCTTTAGATAAGTCGATGATGTTCCACGGGTTTGAAGTACTGCGACGATTCGAGTCATCAAAATTGCTTTGCCTCTCGATTATTCGTAAATTCTGTTCCTTAGTGAACGGCCCCAGTCCCTTCGACGGTTTGTCGTTGGCAAAATCCACTGGGAAAGTTTCCTTCGTTTCATAGTTCTGTTCTTTGGTGAACGGACCGATGCCACCTTGCTTCTCCTGCATCAATTGTCCCAAAACTGGAGACGTTGTATTCTCTGATTCCACGGGAACATTGCATTCGCCAGGGAATAGAGGGAGATAGACGGGCTTCCCAGATTCTAACATCAAGCCTTTTCTGCATACGGAAAGGGTTTTCCCAAAACTGTCGACGATGGCCATTTTGTCGATGCTCCAAGATACCAAGCCTGAAGAGATCCAGCCGCTGTACGCTGTATACTTGATCTGTAATAAGGATTAAGGATTTAAATTTCATCTTTGCTGTCATTCAATGCCGATTTATCGTATAATAATGAGAATTATACATTGCGACAATTAAATTCAAAGAATGAAAGCCTGAGTCTGGTATACAAATTTAGAAATAATACAGCAGTGCAATACTCACTTCGATGGCTTCAAAATTTGAAATGGCAGGATGCGGGACGACAATCTTCTGCAGAATCTTCCCAACCAGCAGCTCTTCATCCTTTCTCGTCATTGCGAACGTATCATTGAAACCTCCGTCTCCAACCAAAGTTAATTGCAGTTTGCCATACGTTCTAGTGGGCCTCTCGCTTTCACTATTATACACCTTTACTTGATACTGGTGCGCACAGAAAGGCTCTTCGTCTCTAGTCACCAAATACAATTGTCCTCTAGCCGGTGATTCGTCGCTGTAATAGCCCATATCACCGCACGACCTGCCCATTCCGTTGCCACACGGGAAGCATTCGCCACGAATAAGTCCATCATATCCGTTCTCGCAAGGAAACGCAGGGAATCGACACTTCGGGCTGACAGAATCGGTGAACAGTTTGTACGCCCTCCGGTGATTGCACAAAGATCTGCCCTCGACGGCGCTCGCTGCAATCGAGAAGAATCTGTGTGAATCGATTGAAGAAAGAAAGAACGCGTAGGACTGGTCAGGATTTTTATGAATATTCATGGCTCTGGGCGACATTTCGAGGGGGGCGCCGGTGACCCGCTTTCTTTTGGATAAAGAATTCGATCCGTGTTGCGGAGAAGGTAACACTATACGTACCCCACGAATACTCCGCGAAAAAGATCGCGGTGGACTTTCTAATCTCTGATTTATTCAGCTTTTTTCATTATCCTTCGTCGATCAGTTTTAATTAGGATAAACAGCTGTGCAGAATGCACAGAGTTATGCAAATTTTGTGAGATGTTCCTAATTTACGGACTTTTTAACGTAAAATATATGAAAGACAAGAAATGATTTTACGATGGAAGACACTTACACCAGATGATGTCGGACACGGCACCGAGGAACAGATTCGAACAGCCAGTTTGCATCCTGCCGCCGTTCGGATAGAAATCAACGTCGCCCATCGGCTGCCAGGAGCCGAGGCCACCGAGCAACAGTTGTTCACCGTTGCTGTGGATCACATCGACGAAATTGGCATCAGTTTTGTCGAGGCGAGCTCTCGGGTCCTGGGATTCGAACAAAGGTCCCGCAGGATCCAAACCTACAGACAATTCGCGAATTCCAGATTGTGTAATACTAAACTTAGAGAATTCTTAGAAATGAAATAGAACTTTTTTTATGTCCAAGTAATAGACAATTTTCTAACAGATTGGAAACTCTAATCACAGAGTAAAAACTCGTCGACGCGTGACATGTCCACGAATGTTACAAATACACGCTTTAATTATTCGAAACTCTGTTGCAAAAGTCCTCGTTATAGTTTCCAGTGAATGGCCGATGGATGAAAAAGTCGAACGTTCTTTTTTATACTTTAATTTGAATTAATTAATTCGAGAAACTCACTAGAATTATTACTGAATATTAACTGCTCTTACGTAAATCGTAACATTTGCTAATAACGTTAGGAAAGAGTTCATTCCAATTTAATCGATAATAAACAATCTCAGGTGGATCGTATGCAATTTCTCTCGGAGAACGGGCTCCCTTTTACCAGAGCAACAGTGCAACTCTTCAAGGACACCCACTGTTGCTATTGGTAACAGATTGCACAATAACCGTACGCTATAACTGCATTAAATATCGAATAAAATGCAGAAACCAAGAGTTCAAGAGAATCACACGCTTTATATTTAGAGCGTGTAAAACAGTATCATTAGGTTTTACATATGTATATAATTTACCTGTAATCCTGGAAACGTTTCCCAATTCGGCGCCAGCGAATCCTGCCACGTGGGCACCGAGGCTGAAGCCGATCAGATGAACCTTCTCCAGAGGTACGTTAAAACTTCTAATTAGTTTTGCTAATTGTCTACCGACCAGGCGAGTGTTAGCGGCTGCCCTTACGTAGTTGGGAACCGCGCTTCCCGGGCCCCAATCGACGCACACTAAAAAAAGTATGCACTGATCCGATCGCATTCTCCTGATTGTCCCGTTTTTTGCAAATGACACTTTCCATCGTCTACGAACCTATATTGCACTCGTGCACGGTCATCAAGGCAGATCTCATCTCGTAGACCCAGACATGGTCGCAACTGGATCCGAATCCGTGAACGATCACTTTAGTTGGTAGATCGGGGTCTATGGCACGGTGGGCGTTATCATTTATATCTTCGGCAGGTACTTCCATTGGAATCGATCTTGCTTTCCTGCTTCCGTATACTAAAAATCTATTGCGAATCGGGACTAAATTAGATGCGTTTCGTATCTCGCCTGTATTAATAAAGATATAATTGAGAGCTGACGATATTGAACATCCGATGATCGAGAATGAGTTCAATAATAAATATTCACGTATCTGATTCGAGTCTTCTTTTTGCGAACTAAGAATAGCAATTGCTATTGCACACTTTAATTAAACGAGTTCATCTTGAATGTTAATATGGAATAACAGGAATGATAATGAAATATACATAGATCAAGTTGTGTCAGGATATTCCCATTTTGCCATACCTAGTGCCAACGTCTTTGGGTGGCGAGGGGAGCATCTCGAGGTAACTGAAGGGTCCCGTGTCCTCGAAGCAGCCGACATCTTCGTAACAGACCTTCGATACCTCTCTCTTAGTTCGATGATGCAACCGTTTCTGCAAAGTCCAATGCCTCATCGACTCGACGACCGCTCGAAAAATTTCGGCATCGTTCTTTTCGTCCGCGGACTCGTCGAGAGGTGTCGGCCAGTCTTGCGCCACCGTCCCTGCGAAATCAATTTACACAGTTTCAACCTCTCTCGTTTCTTCATGTTTCCCACCGCGATTTCTCACTGTATTTATTGTGCAATATTTGTCAAGTACTGTTAGAGTAGTTCATTTGCTCGGATCTGGGAATAGCTTTTATTTCTTACATCAGGAATGCAGAGAACCAATGAGTTATGTTTATGATTCTTAAAACCTGAGATTTCCAACGGAACTAGTTCATCAGACATTCAAGATCGAGATCAGAGCAATTTGAACCAACTATAGCTCCTAGTTAAAAACTGCCTATTCGCTTATTCGAGAGCCAGATTATTTTCAACTTCGACAACCAATGAAATAAATTAAAGATTACTCGAAATAAGTAAAAAGAATACAAAGTTGAATTATTAATTCAAGTAGTAAGAATCAGCTTCTGATACATTAACACGAAACTCGATGGATCCCTAAACTTGTATGAAGCTCAGAAGCCTGGTTGTACGCGTCGCGAACTAAATTGATAGATTCGTGCGAACGTGCACCGTAACGGTTTCCTCGGCTCGTTGCGCCGTTATTAGCATAACGCCTGAATAACAATCTCCTGGAACGCGTGGCGATTTTGTTTCGCGAATCGGGAAGACGCCGGCAAGTAAGTCAAGCCCGCTTCCGTTTCCCACGATCGCTGCATCCGACAAGCGAACAAGAGTAGCTTCGTGAACCAGAAACTCTGATCACGAAGATCGTCCACTCGACCGAGACGATAGTCGTGAGAAGGGAAAGTTAGATAAACCGATCTTGCAACGCGTGTCAAACGTGAAACTCGTCATTAGCTTTTAGCAAGTATCAATCAATCCTGAGGGCCTTTAGACCTTTTCATAGAAACATTTTTATTCATTGATCATTAGTGTATCGTTCGCTGACATCGTTGATGTAACAGTATTTAGCAATCGGCAAGCTACACGTGCCGTTTGATTATGATAGAGATTGATTCTTATGCACACTATGCAGAAATAGAGAAATTTTATTGCGTTCGTAATGCAGAAAATTTGATGACATTCTAATTCTGTTCTATGGAACACGTCTGTTGAACTTCTGACCCAGATGACAAAAGCAGAAGATACGATGAGATATTTAAAACTGAATATATCTAGAACTGTAAATAAGGACCGATTTTCCGATAATTGAACCTTTCAATGAAACGAACCGGCGGATAAAAGTAAAACAGGAAAGAAAATCGGCCGAAGAAAGTTCGCGCGGCGGGTCGATCGCGATAAGAAGGAGAAACCTTTTTTCTCGCGTCGATTATCTCGTTAGAAAGATTGGTACGGAAAACGCGAAGCGGAGGCGGTAGTAGGAGAGAATATACAGACGCTCAGTTCCGCGGACAGAGAGACAGACCAGACCAGTTTGGCCGGGGAGAAATTCGGAAAAAGAAAGCCCGACGATGTATCCTCCGTTAATGGTCAGCTAGACAGGAGATCGGTTGCCGCCGTGTTTTTGTTCGTTTAGCAAGAAGACTGCCGGCCTCCTGTCAGGGAGAGCCATAGAAAAGGGAAATCGGGACTGGGTTGCGATCCGATCCAATCGCTCGATCGTGGATTTCATTCATCTTCAAGAACACTGGAGCAGAATGGACGTTATAACGTTCAAACGCTTAAAGACTTTCTATTTAAAGTAGATTTTGCATAAAAAATCTGCAGTCTACCGATTGGCCTGTTTTAAAAGCTAATGAAGTCTAGGCTATACGTAGAGGCTGTGTCAAGGTTCCTGCGGGAGCCTGACCGTTTTACGCTCAGGCAATGATAATTAGTACGTGCTGCACGGCTTGCGAATCGAAAATGAAGCTACCGAATGGAAACGGTTCAGGGTATCAGCGAAATCCAGGAATTTGTCACGGTGGTTGCGACATTGCGATAGCTCGAGCGAAACTCACGTTTCGGTTAACGACAGTCCCATCACCAGCGAATCGCGACCGCTTCCTCGGTGAAAAATATAATTTACGCGTTGGTAGCGATTTCGCCAAGAGACATCGAGCCACGATTATTTACAGGAAGAAGCATAGATACGTAATTATTGCGAACTTGATTCTTTTATAGAAGAATCAAATGTACAGAACATCAACGAGTAAAAAGATGTTTATCTGGATCGTGTTGTTTAAAAATGTGTCATACAAATTCCGAGGATAGTAATTATCGACGTTATCTAAGTAGTGTCTTGCTTGCGAAATCTACCAATTACCTGATCGTCAGATAGCGTGCATCCTACGCGACAACCTGACCCGGCGAGACCGGATAACACCAGAGAAAACGCGTCTGCGTTTACGTTTGTCTGTCTCTAACCCTTTGCTCCACTTTCCACCGAGATTCCTTAAGAATTGCTCGGCTCAGATCTGCAGGTTTACATAATTCACAGGAAAAGTCTCTCACGGTTACGAAATAATAAAACTTCTTTTTCTTCTACGTCCGGCTAGCGCAAATTGTGTCCCGCACTCTTGTTTCGTTGAATAACGCCATTAACGATTTCCCGAAACGAGAAAATTGGGTTATATCACATGAGATACTAAAGAAGAGTGTATAAATTACACCGGATGTTTTTTGTGTTAAATTTTTTTTGAACGAAAGACTAACTAGTTTTAATTAATTGATGGGGACAGAAGTTTTTCCGAGAAGCAAGGTCCAGTTGATGGATTATTTGCATAATCTTCTACAGGACCTTGACACAATTCGCAAACGAATTAGCATTTACTAGAAGAAATTATCACGAGTTCAGTTTGATTTGTATTCTGCCTGGAATCTTCTATTTAATCAAAGAATGACGAAGTGCTATTCCACTTTCAATCTATCTGGAAATAGTCGCCGTTAGTGGTGCTATTGGTAAGATTAATGAAAGCGCAAACTGAAAGAGGGCACGTGAGATCGACGTTAATCGCATACGCAATCAATCCGCCGGTAGATGATTCTCGGGAAGCTTTCGAAATCGCTTTGGAACATTGCTTCACCTTCGTTAACCGTAATGGGGGAGTCCGCGTGCATTTACGGTGTTGAACACGATGTCGCAACCGGAGCGTTTGAATTAATAATAATTCAAGCTTAGCCGTAGAAACCTGCACCGCTTTTCATTCGCACCAATCGAGATGCTGAAACTACCATTAAATTCAACGACAGTATAATGATTAGATCTCCTTTGATAATGGAGGAGTTTGTGGTAGAGACAGGTGCGCATAGGTGAGACACAGGACAGGAATAGTCTAGAGATTTAACGGTACAATGGCTCCCACAGCAACTACAGCATTGTTGCTGCGATGACATCCAATGTTTCCTCAAGATCAACTTCGGACTAATTCTTTTAAAAGCTCTGAACGGATCATGATTTATTATGCAATTTGAATTTATTATCGTACGAACGTTCGATACGATTGGCAAAGGATCGAAACCAGACCGGAGGAGGGACTTAAGGATATATTGGCTATACAGTCAATCCCAAAAGTTTATGCACTTTAGGNTATGCAATTTTCCCGTATCTCCAAGGGTTTAGGAGTTATTGAGGAAAAACGAAATTTTTTCCAAAAGTTCGCTGTTTCGACGCTGGGATGGTGGGATTTTGTCAACATCAATAAAATGCCAAATAATCATACGTAACTCGTTAAATACTCAAGTTAGAAGAAAAATACATAGAATCTTTCTTGTAGAGGACATCAGTGCCTACAATTTCTGTATAATAAACTTTTCGCTATCGTCAATAATTAATTGGATATTTCCTTCTATACTTTTTAGCACGTAGTTATTTATTATTAGCATTATTCTTCCGACGTCTGATTTCTTTTTAATTATAGGAAATGCGTTTTTCTAAGGTACATAAACTTTTGGGATTGACTGTATGGCCAATACATCCTTAAAATCGGATAGTGGCACAGTTTCCAGGAAGCGGAGGTCGGTGAACTCTGCAGCATAACCGGCGCGTTGCTCTTTTATCTAGCGATTGTGTCTGGTTCACGACCCGGTCTCGCATCAACTCACTTTCCACGACCCAAATTAGAGGATCAACATATGCGCGTTACACAGTAGCCAAGTTTCTATTTAGAAGAAGAGGATCTCTCTACAGAAAAATGTCGAATGTGGAACCGTTATTCCAGTCCGACACCGATAGTCGGCGCGTCCCTATGCCCCTGACCTTAAAACTGAATCCCTGTCACGGCCCCTGGCATTCACCGTGAAAACCCGTTACGAAACTCCGCCTGGTGCAGTTCTGTTATATCGAACAGGCTATCAGGATCCGGTACTGGCTACGAATAATTCAAAAGACAGTGAGATCGTGGTGGATAAGACCAGAAGCTTGATTGTTCGACACAGGCCTTGATGCATGGACACAAGGAAGGAAAGTGATGGAATTTCAAAATCGAAGAGGAAGACGAGTACATATCGAGGGAAGAGGAGAGTGATGAATGAATGTCAAGCGACACGCCCTCGGAAGCACTTTGCATCCGAAAGGATTTGCACGGAAAGTGGACTTGACACGTGACGATAGTCGATGAAAGTTCCCGATCCTTACACCTTTCTCGTTTCACTGATCACGAGGATATAATCTATCCGTTTGCCAAGTTTTCGTTTCGAATACATCAACGGATCCCTTTACGCCAAGTGGGATCCAAATGGGATCTTCCTGGAAATGTAAGTACGAAGCGGCGCGCCGTTTCGATATTTAGAATCTGAAGCGACGGGATAAGTGGCGGATAGACGGAAGCCGGAAACGCTGGCAGTCGCGGCGATAAATTGGAATGATCACGGTAACAAAAAGTCGGAAGATCATGAACAGCTCTCACTGGTCACGACGAATTTCTATACGGAAGGCCTGGGCAGTTATGAAGAGGAAGAAAGAAGACGGCAACAGGAAGTGGACAATGCAGTACTGGCACTTTCGCAATTTTAAAGTATTTCGAACGTCTGTCACGTTTTGCGGGACATGTATCTCTAAAATTATCGAAACATTGACTTTCCTCAATGCGAGATCAATTTCATAGTGAAAGTTGAAGGTTTCAATCTTTTCGAAACTATAACCGACCGATGTTCATGCATGTGGTTTGATAGTCAAGGTTGAAAATAATAAATAGAGAGAAAGTCGGCGGAGGCGGTGAACGGCAATAAAAGATGCGAAAATTTAATTTTCTGTACATGCGGGAGATGATAATTGGAAGAAGGTGCGGCTTAAGTATTACGCTTTCGAGAGTAACTTCTCTCTCCCACATTAAGAGATGGATAAGATGACGTTTAACATTGAGACACGATTTTAAAATCCCTGAAACAGTTATCCAACTCGCGATTAGTGAAAGTGCAATTTTTGTTCTTAATCAAACTCTTCCATCGTTACAATCCAAGTTCGAAGCAAGAGGTACTCACTTAGTCGTGTAAAAAAATTTCCACGCGCTTGAAATGAACGCCGATACGCTTTAAAACGACAGTTGATCTCGAAGAGGACGTGCAAGTGGTAAAAGGAACATAGGAGAAAGTATCCTAACTTTTAGCCTAGAAATTCTCAACCTACGCAGTGACTATAATTTTCAGATCCGTTTGTCGAATTCAGGTCCAACTATCTCTTTCGGTCCTCCTTAATTTAACGTGCAAATGTGTTAACCCGGATCCAGCGGGCGTCTATCTAAAGACGTCAGAAACTGTTAGCAAAATTGTACGGCAACAGTCTAGTATTAATTATGATGCAATTCACTGCTACCGGTTGAGCTGCACGAAAGGAACGAAATAATTAAAGAACGTTTTAAACGAATAATGAGACAAGTTGCAAAATCGATGAGGTTTATTGCTATCGGTAGAACTTAATCAACACTGTTCCGTTTCTTATATAATTCAGTCACGGAACAATCACGAAAATTGCTGTGTACATTGCCACGCCAAATAAGCTTAGAATAATTGCGAATGACGTAACCCTGAAGTGTTTGACGGAAGTGAATCCATACGAAATTGTGAAGAAAGATTTTTAATCTGTGGACCTTGCTGGAATTTCACGGTAAAAGATCGCGAAACAATTCCTGGGAATTGTACTTACAATACGACCCTAAATACTTCCGCTTTAATTGTTTCGCAGACAATCGCCTCTTGCTTAAATCGTTGTACGTAAATGATATTATTCGAATAATCGAAAGATGAATTATGAGAGTGTCATCGATCTCGAAAGAAGGTTAGCCTTAACGAGGAATAAATTATGTTACAGACAATTTTCCCGTCACGCTCGCATCATCGACTTCTCACGTTCCGTTCTCGTTCACGATGTAATCGGGATCTGAGGTTTTTCAACTGCTTCCTTCCTTCCCGTTTCTCAGTTGTGTTCTGCGGCGACATTTCCGGCCATACGATTGCAAGAGAGAGAGAAAGAGAGAGAGAGGGACTAGCAAAACATAATTGTTTGACAGACGTAAAAGGGTGACGGTTCGCTGTCCCCGGTTGTAGAACGGTATTTCAAAATTGCTTTGCACCTCGATGGGCGCACTGGCTAACTGCTATCAGTAACTCTGCAGCTTTCTATATAACTGTTATGTCGGTTGAAAAACCTTAAGAAAGTAAAGACCCGATAAAACCTGTCGTAATAAATAATGAATATATTAACGAAGCGTGCAAAATACTCAAACTGACTTCCTGTTTCTCTAGATGTCCTAATTAAAATTTCGATGCCCCACTGTCCAACCACATTTTGAATACTAATTTAACATCGATGATCGAGTCATGAAATTTGTTCTGATATACGAAGTAGATGACTACTAGTTTGACACGCGATCCTCCTTCGCCAAGAGAAATTACCAACACGGAGAAAGGTGGCTGGGATCCGAAGATTCTGGGTGAAAAAGGGTCAGATCCGTCATGAGTCAGAAGAACCAGATTCGTGTCGAGTACGTGCGACTCTTGCATTAGGGAAATTAGGCGAACGACAATTTTATCGTCGAGAACGAATTTAGTTCAGTTTTTTTATACCCAAAATGTACTTCGTTTCGAAAGTAGGCTGTTGCTGAAAAAGAAAGCGTTTCCGAGTTCAGGTTCGCTCGGATCGTTTTCATTGTTTTGATATTTAGAGTGAAGTATGGAAACTCGATGAATTAATTAGAAAAGAAAGCATCGAGGAAATTTCATCTAGATTTTCCTGAATAGAGAATTCTTTCCTTCCTCTCGTATTCGACACACTTGAAACTATGACGGGCACACGTGTTATATGCGTCATACTTTACATAAAGATCATAGCTAGGATGTGTGAAAACGATTGAAGCTGGTCTCTGCTAAAAAGAAAGAAAGTAACTGGATCCAGTTTCACGGTCACGGACGCGGTAAAAATTTACGTACACACGAGCATTTCACACCGAGCATGCTCGATTATGTCGAAAATAAAAAAGTTTCTCGAACTTTACCTTTCGATCAGCTGTTGCGACACGCGTGTACGAAATCAACTCGCTTTTTTTACCTAACGAGAGGTAACGAAATTTTTGCGGAGTTTCACAAAGTCCACTCTCGCAGAATTACAGCGAACATGTTTCCCCACGATTTTTTCGATACAATTCGAATGAATCGCGATGCGTGCACATAATACCGTATTAGCGCGCGACAGACAGTCGCTTTCACTGACTCTGAAATAACTGCTATACCCGCGGGCTGCCCGTGAAATTTGTACCTAGACCGAGTTTTCATTTCCGTCGTCGTTAACTTTTCACGCAATCGTTCATCACACACGGAGTAAATCATTTTTATCTTCTGATATCTTTGAGGTGAAACGATATTACATTCGCCGGGCAATGTATTTGTTTAAAAAGTCCTGGAGCCTTACCCAAAGTCAATGAGTGAAAACGTACGGTTAGTGGTCAGACATGACGCGCGCGCCGTGCCGGTTAAGAAAGAGTGTTTAAAATTTTTGATACATCGCTGTCGGTGACCTCAGGGTCCGATTACATGATTAAATATGTAATTGTCCTCGATTGTTTAACGGTTCATAGAACGGAATTCAAGAAGTGTACGCATACAGAATGGAGAGATGATACGCGGCTCAATAAAGTAAGTCACCCGACAGTGTTTATCCAGTTTACTGGAATAATATTCTGATCAAAAGCTTTCATTCTACAGAACAACAAAATGTGATAATTTTCAATTAGAATTAAATGGTTAGTGTTAAAAAGTTGAAGACCGTACCATAGAGGCTGATGCATCCGAGTATCGAGAAACTTAACAGGAGTTTGCCAATCATCTCACGTTCGTGGACCAGCTAGAGTTGGTTTCTCAAAAATCCATCGTCCGCGTACCGGCTTGAAAATCCAACGAGAGCACGTGTTCCTTGTTTGCTCGCGATAAGAAATTTGACAACCGATTAGCGTGTTTTCATTCTCACGTCCGTTTCGCTGACAGACACAACGGAGAAATCATTAAACATTTGAAGAGGATCAAAAAATATACGATCGATCGCAGCCGTCGTGACTTGCTCGACGCAACACAACGTTACGTCTCTCTATCGATTTCTCTTCGTTTGACGGATGTCGGAATTTCAGGGTTTGATTTTCATTCTTCAGCAATTTCCCTCTTTGAATTATTGCGGTTCTAGTTTAAACGAATTGGATTAAATCCCTGATGCGACAGATCGTTTTCGAGAAGGAGAATTATTACGGTCGTCGGTGAGCTGTTTTCTCAGCCGACTGAACTCTTCAACTTCTCTGCTTTCTCCTTCTAAAAGACCGGGACTGGCACTTAAACGCTCAGGCGATCGCGATCGCTCACTCGACTGGTAAAACAAGAAAACAGTTCGCGTGGTGCATCGATCGCCGGACACCTTTTTAATATGCAATCACATCATCGGTTCGTACGCGATCAGACGAAAACGGCGTCGTTTCATGTCAGTGTTTTAAAAATAGCCAGCCGATTTGGTGAAGGGATCGACGGAATTCGATTCGAGCGTCTCGATCATTGATCCGTGTCACTTGATTCGCGTTTCCATTATTGTCCGGTTTCGAATCTCGCGGAGCGGCACTCTCCAAGAAGTCTGGAGTGCCAGCGGAAACTAAGAGAGAGTTCGAGCGATCGTATGCTACACCTGCAGAAACACCAGAGCTGCTACCTCGTGGCCTACTATAACAGAACTGACTCCCACCATAGGTTCACCGTGTCTCTTTACCTGGCGAACGGTGTTTACTCACCGTGTCACCCGTTGGTGATCGTTCCCTCCTCTGCACCGATCACTCGACAATTTTGCCTGTCTGCTAATCAGTTCACTGGGCGAGCGAAGGGTTTCGTTATCACCATCATTAGCTCTTTCAAGGGAAACTTGTCTTTCATATTAAACAGCGATTCACTTATTAAAACGCTTTGGGAGACTCGTTAATCATAATCACCTGAGATACTATTATCGATCTCGCTGCTCATATTCATTTTAATTAAATTCAATGCACATTTTTCATGGTACGCTTTTAGAACGTTCGAGAGAACGATATCGTTTTCTTGTCGTGTAAAATCACTGACCGTGTAAGTCACCGCTATTTAATTCTGAAAACGTTCTAGCGCCTTTGTCGTTGCCCAACACAGGCCGTAAAATTTTCTTTAACTGTCGCAATAGAGGAGTTTCACTACTATCGAAAGCATCCGCACAACAACACGTTGGCAAATATTATATCATCGCGCCGAAACCGAAAATGCTCGCTCCTTCTTGCGAGTAGAAAGGTACTTAGCTCGCTTTCGCAGACAATCGTCAATCGGTCCTATTCAAAACGTGTTTCCGCTATTTCTTAGAGAGATTCATTTTGATTCATTTCATTTTCAATGCACATTTACTTCCCTTTCTTTTTTAAACATAAAATGTAAAATGAAGGAAATTTCTTATTAGTTAAGAGCCTAGCATTTGCGTCTCATTTATTTCCTGATTGATCATCACTTTCCATTGGCTGTTCCCCTACATTTTCGAATCATTGCTCACTTTCATTTAATTTTTACGATTCGTCTTGAGGTTCTCTTCTGCAATTAGTAATGATTAACGCAAAGACCAGCGGAAGCAGACGCTTGTATTCGCGGGTAGCCAGAGAAAGTTCATCCGGGCGGTCGTCGCAATCGTCGGTGTTTACCGAGGGGAGAAAATAAAATGAATCATCGACGCAATCATCTTACGCGGTTTTCTTTTCACGGACAGTTGAGGAGCGTAATTTTTTGATTGACGTGCTCGATCCCCCTTATCGCGGGCGGAGAAAACGTGCGTTTATGATAATGGCTGATGCGTGGGTCGCAAAGAAAACTTTAATAGTTCACTTTCACTTTTTCATAAATAATTGTGACCGCGTTCACATTTACGATGAGGATACAATCGCGAGTTCATACAAATTCGTAACATCAATCAATTATATTACAAATAGTTTCGTATAAAGAAATCATTCTCATCAAAATCGTCTTGATACTCCTCGACTATCTCTGTATTAAAGTTAGTTATAGTTCTGGGTTCAAACTGTGTTTACGTTTATGATCAAGATGCAATTGTAATAAATTATACTACAAGTTACGTGTAAAATGTACATAGAGGTCTTATTTATTAAATAACGATACAATTAAATCACTTTGACAACTTATAGAATTTAGTTTCATCAAAATCATCTTGGTACTCCTCGACTATCTTTGTCTTAGTTATAGGCCTACGTGCTTCCAGTCTACGTCTCCTCTCTTCTTCAGAGAGCATCTCGATATTAAGAGGGAGAGTAATTATTCGTCGTGGTTCATCATAATCGATTTTAATGCTACTACCGTCTGGAAGGACAAGACACGTAGGGAAAGTGTTCAAATATAGTTTTCTATGCTTCTTTGTTATTCCTGCTGTCCAACAATTCAGATTCCTATGGATGGATAATGCAGGTCGTGCTGTTCGCAAAAGCGAAGGTGTATTCATTCTGAAATAAGAAATTATATGTCGTAAATATACATTTAGGCGAAGAGGTTATATTCGAAACTCAAATGGGAATCTACTTTCAGAACTCTATGCAGGGATTTTATATTCATAAATTACAAGTTGACAACGATAGATATTAATTTTTATTAAATTTTCGTAAAATCAAATAAAGCTTACCTTCTTTTTAAACAAACTATTTATACTCTTATACAACGCGTTCTACCACTTAGTCACGTGACACTCGTACTATCGACTATCGACAAATGGGTAGCCATCTTAGAAATCGAATTGAGATATCGATAATTTGAAACGAGAACGGCAATGGTGGCTGTGTAAGAAGTGCGAGAGTCCGTTGTGGAAAAATAGTAAATTGTTCAATTTGTTGGAGATTGTCTAAGTATTTACGGTGTCTGCATACTCTTTTTGTCACGGATGGACGTGTCGTTCGGGAGATTGTTAAATTCTGATCATTATCCAAGCTGAATGTGCGTGCGGGATCAAGAGCAACGTCAGTGTCCGTTGGCGCATTTGAATCGTGGATGAACAGGTAATTCTTTATTATAATTAACATAGATAACTGACCAATTGCTACTAGTGATACAAGATCAAGAAAGATCGCTAGTTGATGCGTTTTCTTGAGATTCTCCGTAATCGGAACCAGGTATTCCAACATAATCTTTACGATCCCTGCGAAAAGTAATCGACACATGTATATAGTGCTTTCTTTGAAAAGTCAGGTAGAAGAAAGTGGTTCTATTTTCGTAGCACACGTTCTTCCGATAATAGTAATGCTTGCATGTTAGTTTAATTAGTATTGTTAGTAAGTTTGATAGTCACACGCATAATCGTAAACACACATACAATATCTGTTCGAAATACGTCGCATTTTCTTCAAACATTATTCCTCGCATTTTCTCAAACCAATGGAGAGTTTTATAAAGAAACACCATCAATACTAACATTTTTATTGTTTCATAAGAATATAATGGAAAACAGTATGAAACGTATAAAAAACACTTTTTTACAATAATTAATTATAGAAATTCCGTGGCGCAGAATTATTAGAACCCTTTTATCTCGTGGTGTAGGAATAGTTTTAACACATGCTGCATGCTTATATGTAGCAGCACACTGACACAATATAAACTACAACTTAAGATACTATATTGAAATGTGATAGGTGACTGTTCGCATTTATATAGCTGAAGTCCACAAAACCATGCAATTGTTTTATTACAATTCCAATATAAATGTAAAAAGAACAGTTTACTCATAACTGGATAATGTCCATTCTCGTGCGTTGTATAACGACAAATACCAACACCACTCCTATTCACCACACTCGAACAATAAGTTCTAAACCCTTTTATTTGGTACATTAATATGTATCAACGGGTTCTTCTCTTCTATTGCATGATTAGCAATCATCTGAGATTCGCAAAGATACAGAAGAGTAATCTCGTTAAACGCACTTAGTTCGAATGGAATTTAAGAAAATACTGAATTCTTTTGGGGGTTCTGTAGCTTTTCTATCTGCAAGTCAGCAGACCGCAACAACCAGATTGTTTTAGGGGCGCCTCCAAATCCGGATCGTACGATTTCTCCGACCTATGCAGCGTTTCGTTACTTCTCGCATTCCCGTTATCTAGTCTGTAAGAATTTATGATTTCGCAAACTCGTGCAACGTGGGAGGGAAAAATGTGGTTGTGAAACATGATTTAAAGTGAGATGGCTGATGCTTATATTCTGTGTTTGAGGGCAATCATCTTTTCACTGATAAATCTGTAAAATTAAAATTTCCTTTTCTGCCTCCGTATCCTAAACATTTGTTACTAGCGAAAGCGCGTACCGTGTTTATCAGGATTTTTAATCGCATACCGTAGAAGCAAGTACTGCGGATCACTCCGATATCTCAATCTTTCCCCAATTTGTTACGGATATCAAGAGTTAGATTACGAAATGAAGTTTAGGGTAGACAGATCATTCATAGACTTTAACACGCAACAGATAACTACGACTACTTCTAGTTAATACACAAAGTCTTCTACTAGTGTTTTAGTAATGCGTTAGTGAAAATAGCATGCTGATTATGTAAACGTTGATAATGATTATACAAATATACATACCTATATAAAACGTAATGCTGTATAATGAAAAATATGTCAAATGCAACGGAAAAAAATCCTAAACCAAATTTCGTTGGGTCTCCGAAAATACTATCCCAATCATCTAAAAAAGGATTAGATTCAGTTATACACTTTGCACAGACATTCCAGTTTTAGTTATTCGTCTGATATATTACCATAATTGTACGCGTTGAGTATCATTTGGAGCATGGACAAAATACCACCGGTGAAGTCTAAAAATATGTTGCCGATACTCCAGCCGACGGTAGACTTCCTTTTGTAATTGTAAAATGCTTGTGGCACGTATTTGATTAACGTTATACTTAGTTTAACGTAACTACAGTAATACAGGAACTGGAGCCACTCTATCGTTTGGATTATAGCTAATAACAAACAAATGCTAATAAAAATGGCAAAGATTCCGTGAATAATACGTGCCGTGGTAGAAACTCTCTGAGATCCAGTCTGAAAAGATATAGTACCCACGTTAGTGCCGATAATAGATCCTTAAGCTGTATAAAGTAAATTAGAATTAGTTACCTCGTAAATAAAGCACTGAACAATCGTTATCACAGTCGCAAATGTTGCGTGCAAGGCAAAAAAGATATCGTTCACTTGTACAGGATTTAATCCTTTAGGATATCTGCTAAAATACTGAAACTATAAAAAATCAATTCAAGATTAGCGTGAGATAAAAAAAGTAAATGTAATATGTCGTTTTTATCGTTGGACTTACCTCTACTTCTGGTATCCAATACAAGCCGCAATTAAAAAGCGCGTACATAATAAAACCGACCAGGTTTAACGATAGGTAATCAAAGTTCAATCCTACGACACTTTTGCGTTTGTAATTGCTGTATATTTGCGGATAGAAACTCACGCTCCATGCTAGAAAATATATCCATCCGACCACGGAACTCACGTGGTAAAGCGCATCTGATTTCTCAATTGTCACTCTGACAAACGCTTGCGAAAAACTGCAAAAATGACACCAGATAAGCTTGACACGATCTTTATGACGTAACACTTGATCAGCTCGCTTCTTACTTCTTTAAATCGACACTGTCCAATTGGTCTCGGGGTATCAAAATCTCTTTGAAAAGCGACATTTTTTAACAGTAGTATTTCAAGTTTAACACAAATTTTTCAACGTACATTGAATCGCGTATGTTTTTAAATGTTTAAAATGATCGCTGATTTATCGCGTTCTAGTCGCAGCAGGAAGTAGTCTGCTCAAAATCTGAGCAGAGACTGACCGAACTTTCAGCTGAGTATCCGATGACAAGTATAGGTCAATAGGCTATCTCTGCTAAAGTTTCTAGATGCCAATGAATATATAGTTGATTGAAATCTTTCGGAATTTTGCTTTGAAAGTAAATATTGATATCCCCTAGTGGCAATTTGTCTGTACTTGATATCAAAGTGGTGAAGAGGGGCAGAACGATTAATTTCTTTAATCCCGTATCAATGTTTTTTCTAGACCAATGTATCACAATCCTTATTCGCAAAATCAGAAACGAGTGGGTTCAATACACTTCGCTTATTATTAGATAAGCTTATTATTAGATAAAAATACTTACTCTGCGATATCGCTAGGCGTAACATTAATGCTAACGATTGAGTGTCCAGCACTGAGACCTTCCACGTGTATCGTCCAATTCGTCTCGTTCTCATTAATACTGATACCTTTTGGATCAGTAGAAACCAATAACGCGTGCTGTACATTTATTTGTACCGATGCATTTTTCGATAGAGGTTCTCTGTAAAGTGATTAGATAATTCTAAAGGATCGGATTGAGATAGGAGCAAAGTAGTAGAATTGATAAAGCGAAGTAGGTAAATAATACACAAATTAGTCAGCGATCACTGAACTCTTTGTTTAGCAAAAGTTTTCAAACAATTCTTATTAAATAAACTTATCATTTGGAGATACTTACGTCAGAATCAATTCGAATGACTTTCGGTCACCTACATGAACTTTTAAATCTTGCGTCGACACTTTGAAATCTGCCAGAGCTTGTCCTACAACTGAGGATCTCTAATTAGTATATGAGAAGATACCTATAAGAACCATAGAAATTATTGATACATACCTAGGATCATAAAAATCCCAATGTACTGTGCAAAAGCCATGTCTTGCAATTTCTGAAACAGATCAAACAAAAGTTGAATCGCAGAACTTCGTGTGACACTACATTTTATACCGATCGTAGAACTACACATGCAATTGTCATCATATGTTGTCTAGACAAATTGACGTACTTCAATGAATCATTACGAACTGTCAAACGCGACTAAAAAGTTGACGTAACTAAGTTGGACGTGTAGCCGGTAGAAGGAATTTTCAGCTTGTGGAGTCTTTGGCCGATTAGCACGAGGGAAAAAGCTAGAAGTCGTAGATGTGGGGCACTTTGTCGGATGCATGTCATTGATGCACCCGGAAACGGCTGCCACTGGTGATAGCACGGGTTCGCTCGTGATAACGAGTCATAAAATTTTTTTTATTCGATCATTTAATTTATTACGAATCTAGGATTGCGACGAGATTAGCGCTCAGCGCTGACATAAGAACAAAAGCTGTGGAAAGACACAGAGTACATAATCATTCGAACTTAACCTCCGAAGCGCGACGACCTCGGTGTAACGTAGCACGAGGCATCAGAAATGATAAGACCTCGCGTTCGAGGAATCTCGAGCATTTCGTTCAAGCATCCGCGAAACGGAGTCTGACTGAACCGAATATTTTACGGCGACCCGAGCGAAAAATCGATCGAGCCTTCGTACACCTTCGAACCGTTTCCAGCAAACGTAAATAGAGACTACTTCCGGGGCATCCTCCTACGCTTACGCACTCGCGTCATTCATAGCTGGTAGCTGGTTGTGTGCGACGTGCGACTCCACGTCGTGCAAGCCAGAGAGTGCCTGGAGCCAGGTACGTAGCAAACTTTCTTGCTGCCCGTTTCCAATAGAAAAGTTTTATTATAGTCAGCGACGATTAAACTGTGGATTTCATACAGTAAACGTGCAGAAATAACAAAATTACTCAGAATATCAGAACCTGAATAGCTATTTCAAAACGTTTATCTAAAACGCGTTTTTTAAATTGGGTTTATTTTGTAGAAGAATACGTAGTAGAGTGATAACAGATTATCAGGCAACGATAAGACGCTTGATGCCTAGGGAATCGTTGTTTAAAGTGGCAGCAGGGTGTGAGATGAAACCTTGGCTCGTTCTTGAAAAGTTTGCGGACTTATTAGTCCGATGTAAATTTTCGCTCGGAATTATTCAGGTAGAAGAGTGAAAGAGGTTTTGCAGGCTCGGTATCGAGACATTTGCATGTAAATTGCGGAGCAACGCGACGTCATCAACGAGTTCCATAACGCGGTCGTTATCGTCTTGATACACGATGTTTCATTATGCTGTAGTTCTTTTCATTTCGCGTCATATTCCTTCCTCGTGTCTCGGTTCTAACAGCCTTGATGCGTAGACAAATTATGGGGTTGAACGTGGGTATGAAACCTTCCTCCATTACAACTTCCGTTGGATCTATTTCCCTTTTGTACCGTGTCGATTAAGCTATCCTCCTCAGCCAACGCTACTTTGTCTTAGATATCGCGAGGAATGCGTCCAGCCGGTGATGAATCATAATCTGGCAAGTTTGAAAAAATATTATCTTCCCCAGTGAGTTTCTGGTGCGATTAAATCGGTTGAATAAAAAAAAAAGGGCGACAGTATTGAGGAAACTAGATAAATATTTCATAATTGTCCATTTACGGAATCTTGAATTTTCAAATCGGGAGAAAAGAGCTTTAGCGATTCGGAAAACTCTCGGTAAATATCTCGCGAGTGAACTCTTGACTATCCTCAGGGAAAGAGAGAGGTAAGGGAGGAGCCCAGGCGAACACGTGCTATAGACATTTCGAAATAGAATAAATCGAAAGAGAGATCGACGGTTCGAGTGCACTCCGCGTCCCAAAGGGGCCCCCGCGAAGCGTACACGGAAACAGCTCTGAAAGTCGATCGGCAGTCCGCTGCCGCTTTTGTTGACGTATACAGGTTTCCTCGCCGCCAATATTTTCCTTTGCGTCGGTGGCCGAACATCGTCGAACGGACATAATCCTCGAAGATAGCCTCCGCCGCCTACCCCATCGCCCTCCCCCCTTCCTCGTCTTCATTCTTTCCTTTCTATCAATTTCAATTCGCCCTCGATATGGATAAACAAGATCGTTCCTCGGTATACCTTGAAATTATTCCCTCGAATCGTTTGCTCGGAATGTCCGAGGAAATATTCCTTCCGCCCGCTCGGTCCTTTCTTCGGATTTCAAGATTCGGTGGTAGCGGCCGTCGCTAGGCATCCCGGAAATTTCCAGGGCGTTTGAAGATATTTTCGTTGGAGACGGCCCGCGGAAATGTCCGAGACGCTATCGATTTCGGATAAGCGAATCAAACGTTTACATATCGCGGAGTATTTACGGAACTATCTCGTATCTTCCGGTTCCTGCACGAAAAAGAATCTTAAAGTCCTTCAGATTCATGGATATACTTCTCCTTTCTCTACTTTGCCTTCCATTAGTTTACCATTTATTTGTTTATGAAACAGTTTATACTTCACATCGACAAACGTCGATTTTCCCAATTACGGTGTTCTCCGTTTTGCAATTGCTCATTATCAGCATCCTTTCAATACCTATCGCTTGGAACACCAGTTGTTTGCTTCTTGATAAACTTAATACACTTTAATGGGTCAAGTGTTGGTGAAGTTCCATCGAGATTGCAGAAAGTGCTACTCGTATTGAAATGAGCGGATTAGAGATAATAAAAGAATACCAGAATATAAACAGACTGAGAAATGGAGACGCATAGATAGAGTAATCATTTTTACTCGACAACGTAGACGGAAACATTACAAGTAAATCAGCATAATATTGCTTATATTTTAATAATCGTGCTTATCGACGCGTTATGGTTATATAACTGTAAAAAAGTTTATTGCTCACTGGTCACGATTCGCGTTTGCCGTAGTTAGGCAAAGCATACGTTCGAGTTATCTCTTGGCTGGCATAGTCGCGTTATCCTTTTATCCGGAAAACAATTTCGCGAACAGTTTTGCGTGAGCGGTATTAAAGGCCAGTCAGGCCGGGTAGTAGCGGTTAGCATAAATTAAAGATTAATTTTACCGGCAGGATCGGGGCAACGTAATGTTCGTTCCATGCTAATTTCTTATCGCCGGCAATTACTTAATCGCACGCACGTTCAAGTCGCATCCCACGGCCAAGAAACGTTCTTGGAATCGGTTACGTTTTACCAAATCTAATTAGTCCCAGCTCTGACAAAAAGGAAAATGATCCGCGGTTCATATATAATTTTATCGAAGTAAAAATAAATTGAAGATTGGTAAAATGTTCGGTATAACTTTCCTTTACATAATTTCTATACTCGTTTCACGCGATTTTCGCTATCTCTCTAGTTTTATCAACGATTTTAATGTCGAAGCAAGTTCAGTTCATTCGACGCAAACATTATCGCGTTTCTCTTCTGCATTTTTTAATGCAGGGTTAATCGTGACTCACGCACCACGTGTACGCTTTCTTAATGTATCACATTTATTTCCAAAGAAAGCCGCACTCATAGATTAAATTTCTATCTTGTAACGTCTCCTTGCTGCATTTGCAACTTTGTTAGTCCCTCACATTGTCAGTGAGTGCATTTGATAAATTTGATCTTCGTGGAATGTTAACACTAGAAAGACTGAAACTTAGTATATACCTATATTGCCCAAAGCAGTCAAAATGACTGCATTGTGAAAGAATAATGTGTNAATTTATGCATTATTATTTGTACATTTGCTCAAAAGCAGTCAAAATGACTTCCTTGGGCAATCTAGTGTTAATGTCGTGAGTATGGAAATACGTTTTCCTGGATACAAAAGATTTCCGCCTATTGTCAGGTTGCGTTAATGCGACAAAATTGACGGACGTGTGTTATTTCAACATAATTATGGTCATTAAGCTGATATTTTTATGCAAAGTCACGTATCTGCGATGTCAATCTATATTGTCGATGTTATACACATTGCATTTTTCAAAATTTGTGATTTTTGGAGAGGTGTTTCTCGAAAGGGCAATCGTTCGTATAATTCGATTCTGGAAACTTGTAACCAAACGCGTTGCGTCCGACGAAAACTTGTTTCTTCTCTCCACTCGGAGTGGTTCAGTTCCGGACGATTTCCAATGTAAATTTACAAGCTCGATCCCGACAGTTTGGCTCGGTCTGCGGATTCGATCGGCATCGAATATTAATGCCCGGGTCGCGTTTGACCCGATTTTACGAGACCGTCTTCGATCTACAAGAGAATCGGGAAATAACGATACACGCGCGAAACTTTTCTCGGTCCGAGGGTCTCCGTGTTTACTCGAAAAATGTTCGACGCGGGGAAAATAGGTTTTTGGAACTGTTGGCGGTGACAGTGGTCGGTCTGCTCGAAAACTTAATTACTTTGCCCGGACGAAGAAAGTTCGGACGGCCAGTGAAAATTTATTCTTCGTTATATTAAGATCGTTCGCCGCCCCGCTGTCAGCGTCTCGAATGAGTTTCCGAACTTCCTAACCCGGGATTTATACCCGATTTTGTTAATCTCGGTGAAAGCATTTTCGAACTTCCCTCGACTTAATTCCTTAACGAGCGTTTTTCGTTTGGAATGCTCGACGTTACACCTAAGTTTTAAGACACTTCCATCAAATTACTGTCAAACATTTGACACTGTTTTAAGGATGTATAGGCTATATACTTAAACAATGCTAGCATGTTGAATTTGTTATTATAGATTCCTATTACTATTAAAGAGCTACCTGCAAAATTTTAAATCAA